ATTTTTTCCTCGCCATTCTTATTCCACCCCTTGCCTCGCAGCCTCTTACGCTTAATGTTCGCAGTTTTGCTCGGTTCTTCCCAGCACCTTGCTTCGCGCTTTTTCTCACCACCTTGCCTCTTGTTTATTGTCCTCGTCGTTCAACGAACGGGCGAGAGGGAAAGCAGTCGTCAATTCGTCCACGTCCTCACGAATCTACGTGTTTTGCACCCGGCCACTTTTCTCCCGCGATTCACCTAATGCATCGACTTTCGCGAGCCACGCGTCCTTTTATTTCCTCCACTCTCCTCCCCATCCCCCCTTTTTTTCTTTCATCGTCAATTCGCGCTTTGCGTCACCTTCTCGCGGTGCCGATCGCGATCGTTCTTCGCCGCTTTCTTTCGTTTATCACTGGCGCGACAGCCAGAAACCATCGCGAACTCCTGGCGATGCCACCAAGCAAACTGACAAAAAACTGGCGAGGCACTAATTTTCGCGAGAATTACTATCGAGAGAGAAAATTTACCACGTAGTGCATATCATGGTTGAATTGATAGAATAATCTTTTCATCGAGCTTTAAAAAAAGCTTTATCTTATCACAATGTTCTGTTATAAAGTATACGTTACAAGTTCATTCCAATCACACAATCATTTCAATGCTTCTGTAATATATCCTTCTCTGAGTTCACCAAAAACACTGTAATTTATTCCAATTATTGTTTACTTTTTTTATTTATTAATCTGTCTCCATTATTCTTTCTAGACCCATTTTCCGTGCGTTCGTTGCTACTTAGTTTGACGCAATTTTATTACAAATTCGATTAAATTTAACAATGTAAATCATCCGTGTACCTTATTCACGAAAGTACAACCAAACTGAAGACAAGACAAACGCGCATTACAAAAGTTTTGACGATGTTTCCACTGTGATTTTTCCGCTGTGTCTTTTCCCGTATTCCTCGAAGAAGCAAAAGCTTCTTCCCATTCTCGCGTGTCGCGAAGAATAAGACAAGTTGGTCCAAGGAAAGGGAGAAAGTTTGTCGAACTTTCGATCTGACCACGGCGCACGTAATATTTGAAGACACTTCGCAGTTTCCGCGGAACATTTCTCCGATAAAGATTCGTTACGATGTTTCTCTTTTTCCTTTAGCTTAACAGAAAAAATTGTAAAAATTCGCCCGGTAATTACGCTCGATTGTTCGCAGCAATCTCGCGCTCTTGCGAGACCGGCGAAACACGCTACGCAAAACAGTAGGGCAGAACGCTAGTACATCAGAAACGAAGTATTTTAAAATTACAGTCTCTATTCACCGGCTTCCACCAGCGTGTATAATTAGTACCGCTGGCAGTAGCCGCCACGTTGTCGAACAATATCATTGTAATTCTTTTCCACGATTGAAAACCTCGTTACCAGAATTTCGGACTTCGCGGGCTCGTTGCATTAATTAGTACGCGGCGGCAAC